GTGTTGTAACATGCTTTTCAACTTGGTCCCGATAGCGCTGTCTTCTCTCTGCGCTGCCTGTCAACTGCTGCACATCCATTTTCTTCCGACTGTATTGCGGGCTATGCTTTCTCGGTGACGTTAGGACGTTGAATTTTGGTAGGTCAAAGGTAGCAATCACCAAGCGGTGATCGCTACAGGTAGACGTTCCAGCATATGACCATGCATTCAGAAGAAGGCTCTTCTGGGAATTTTGGCACAGTACGAAATCAATTTGATTATACACCTTGACCGTGATTCCTGATGCTAATCTCCGAGTCATTGACCATGTTGTGGTATGACATGCTCTGTGCTGAAAAGCTGTGTTGGCAGCAAATAGTTGATGGGACCCACAGAATTCTGCCAAAGCAAGACTAGTGTAGTTTCGTCGTCCGCGTCCATGCTGGCCAATGCAGTTGAATGCGCTGCACTAGGTCTGCCCAGTTTAGCGTTAAAATCCCCAGGTACAAACAGTAGACTGGATGACGATTCAATATCTGTGAGCGCCCTCTCAAGACTGTCGTAAAACTCTTCCAAATAGTCATGCGACGTCGCAACAAGTCCCGACGTCGGCGCGTAGACGTTCACTACGGACATGACGCTTTTAGCTACTTCAAGTACTTTGAATTGCGCTACTGCGACTCGGTCGGAAACCACACAGTGACGAACAAATTTGTCCGACAGACGCCGTGACACAACGAAACCGAGCCCGTAGTGACGGCTCGTTGAAGGAAGCAGCAGCAAGCGGTAGCCGTCCTGACAATAGTCGACCCCCTCCGGCGCTTTCGTCTCCTGCAAGCAGCAAACGTCCAGCTTGTAGTTTTTCGCGTCCTCGATAATTTGGTGTTGTTTACTCCGAGAACTTAGTCCACGCACATTGATGCAGGCCAAGTTGAATTTATTCAGGCCTTCGAAACCTCTATTCTCACTCATTGTCCGTTACCGACTCTGTCCGTTGAACGTTTAGACCAATATCATCCCCAGCAAGAAGCAGGAGATGGAGAGAAGAGTTACCGTCTCTCAAACCAAACTCTATGTAGTAGCAGAGAGTGAATAGAGAGGTTCCGCACAACGTAATTACTCTGTCGATCTATGGAAAGTCTTACGTAAACTGCATGCGGATCTGTGTTCCGCCATACGGAGTTTTCAAATCACGGTGCTGCCCTTGGCAACTACGAACGCGGCAGTGTACGACCTAGGGAGAGAGTCATACATTTGTACTCTAATCCACTCACGGAGCACCTACGTTATCAGAGCCCTATCTAAGTACTCTGTGTTAGAAAACGTTCCGTAAGTGGAGTGTAAACTCACGGATTCACTGGTTTTCCCGCCCACTACTGTAAAGTTGCTCTACTTTACGGGGTGCGAAACCTCTCTAATGAGCAACTTGAAGCGTGGTAAATACAGTATTGTCTCATGCAACACTTGTGCGCATAAAAGAATCAATGCTGCTTGCCATTATTAATGCGTATAAAAGGCCATTTATTCGTAATGGAAACTCCTGTAAACATGCCTTTCTTTATTGAGCGATTCTAAAGGCAAAACGGGCAGACAGAAAAGAGTTTAACAAGACATATTTAAAATGACTCAGGTACATAGAAAGACAGAGAGGAAGGAGAGAGAGAGACAGACAGACAGACACATTATATATAATTTATAAATACAGAGAGAAAGACATAAAAGAAACAACTTAAAAAAGACATATACGTGCATACACAGAGCCAAACAGCCACACGAGCAGACACTGAGAGACGAAGAGGTAGACTGATACAGACGTGCACCCAGATCCAAAAACGGTGAGTGAGTCAATGAGACTTCGGGGACAGAATGTGTGGATGTATGAATAGTAATAGGCAAAAGCAGTGCCCCAGAGGACACCCAACTTCCTACAGATTTCACGGACAAACTAGCACATGTTCAATGTAGTCTGCGTCGTCACGAGACTCGTAGGCATTGGGCTTGTATTCTAGCTCGTCTTTTTACTAGTCTACTTAGCTGCATCGGGTCAAGTGCGTGCGTTGGTGCTTTCGTATGTGCGTTCTCAGTACTTCGAAGTTTGTGTGTCTGTCTTTTTACAAATTTGTGCAGTCTGAAGGGAGACCAACCGTTAAAACACCTGACATGTTCTTGGATATTATAATACTAGCCATTTCCTCAAGATGAGAAATGATTTCTCGCGAAATCTTTTCAGTTGCAATATGGCATCTGGTGTGTTATTTGTTATCGCTTCTTTTCCTGACTTCTTCAGTCAGTTTTGAGTCTCACCAGTGTCCCTGCCCTCCCACTCTTCATTTCTGTGCATATTATCATTGCCTTTTATCACTGTTTGCCGTGATTTCCTTGCCATGCCTACATGATGCCTAATCGCCATTGGGGATATATACCCGGGTTTTCCTTCACAAATGCGGCGCGAGGGTTTTTCCCGGCTGGCTTGGTCCAGGAAAATTAATCTGACGTTCCAAGTGGTCCTGCATCATGGCCAATTTCTGCTTTCCTCTGGCACGCCTATTCTATCTGAGACACTCTGTTCTCAGTCTTTGCTTCCATACCTCACTCGTTATCTGGTTCACATCTGGCTGCGGCCAACTACCCTTCACTTTGTGCGTTGTCGCTATTGCTGTCTATGTTTCTGGGTATGGCAGTATATGTGGAGCGAGAAGCTCGCCACTTTTATCTCAACATTTTGTTGTTTTGGTAAAAGTCACAACTTTCCTCATTTTCACAAACTACTTTGTAAATTTTCCGCAACTGTTTGCAGAGAATCAACCTGGTGAGACTATTGAGGTAGCAGTAAAGCTCCGCTTCAATAAATTCCGAAACATTACCGCAAAATCATCATGAAAAAAGTACTTCTCGAAGTACCATGTACATGTACATGTAAGTGTAAGTGGCACCACTGAGTAGGCGTTGGCGGATAATGCTCGAAAAGGTGGCAGACTCTGTTCGAAAAGCAGTGAAATTGGCAGAATCATACAAACCTTATGGTTGGCAATTCCTTGAATTCTGCTCCATTTCTTTATCCACCTACCAAACATGCATGACACTTACCAGAAAAAGTACCGATTTCTGCCAATTTTGCTGCCGGCATTGTCCGCAAAGGCCTACCACTGAGCACTGGGCATCCCGCTATGTGCAAGCTTAACTCAGCCCCCCCCCCCCCCCCCCCCAGGCGAGATAAGAAACCCAAGTTGGTTGATGCTTCGCCTAGCGGCAAGGGCGAGATGATAAATCTCACAACTAGTGCCTAACAAGCGGGATGTACATTTAGAAGGTCGCTTTTGCAATATAATACCAAGAGTACATAACCCCCCAGAGTGTGCAACGCCTGATCCAGCTCTGCATAGGGTCTTGGTCGAGCGGAATCGGATCTTTGCGTCATAATACCGTACACATCTGAGGGGAACCCTGGGAGTCGCGGGTACTCTTGGATCAAAAACAATGGTGCCCTGTCTCGAGACCGGCCTTGCGCTGGTGTTAAGTGTACGCATGACATCAGAAGATCCGATTCCGCTCGACCAAGACCCTACACAGAGCTGGATCGGCGTTGCACACTCTGGGGGGTTATGTACTCTTGATAATACGATGTAAAGAAAAAATACCTATCTCAATGTATTCATCTCAAGATATTCTTCACCATCAGCAGCAGATGGGAAGGTCTATGGGAATGGGTGTGTCCACCCGCATTCCTTCCAGAGGTGAAACTGCAGGAAGCCTTAGCCCTTCTTCAGATGTATTTCATTTAAAACAAAACATAATTATAGGTTAGTGCATGGCAGGGAGGGCCTTATGGCTTGTTAGTGCCCGACAGGTTAGCCTGAGGGCCGTAGGCCCGAGGGCTAACCTGAAGGGCACAAACAAGCCATAAGACCCTCCCTGCCATGCACTAACTATTTTAGAACGAGGTTACATGCATTATCTCACTTCCATTATGCTTGTGTACCACTATATTGGGTAGTTTTGTGGTTTGTGTGCAGAGAGACTTGGTGTGGTATGAAAGAATATTTTCTTCTGGTAAGTTATGGTAACTCAGCACCACTTAGGACTACTAAAAGTAGAATGGAAGCAAATGAAATGCTGGGCTCTTATTGCGAGCTTCATTTTTATTCATATACATGTATGTAGCTTGTGGAGCTATTTAGGGGCTTTGAGAGCCCCTTGTCGATAACTCTAATGACTTTGATCCTCGCTTTTTATAGGTTTCCGCAAGCTGTTGACAAAGGAAATCCGTACAGATGAAAGAATACGGGAGGCAAAAACCGTACATACTTCTGAATTGCGTAGCTTTTAGTAGTACACCGTACACGTTATGCAGAGTTCATTATCTGCACCGTACTATTATGCATACAGGGAGTTGTACGCACCAGTTTAGAGTATATTCAGCGGGCTTTAAACTAATCCAAGGCCCTCGACGCGTCATCAAGAGTAGTAAAATAACGATTGAGCGGGCTTTAAACTCTGATAAGGCCCTTGGCGGGAATGTCGCTGATTGGTCGTTTCCTGGACAACGAGACAGACCTCGTTCTAATGCAATTTAGAACGAGGTCAATCCCGTTGCCTAGGAGCTGACCAATCAGCAACTTTCCCGCCGCGGGCCTTATCAGAGTTTAAAGCCCGCTCACTTGTAATTTTACTACTCTTTGATGACGCGTTCAGGGCCTTGGATTAGTTTAAAGCCCGCTCAATCGTTATATTACAACTCCAAAAGGTGCATAAATAGTACGTATCGTGCATATACGGCATACCGTACAATAATTGTACCGTAATACGGTAAAAGATCAAAATTATCCTAAGTATGTACGATGTACGGTACAACATCAGACAATGTACAAAATATAGTACATAGTACAACGTTCAACGTACGCATAATATAACATTCTAAGCTGCATTCTTCTATAGATTATATTTATAGGAAAGAGAGGATGAACTATCTATCATTCACAGTGTGTAAGATTGAGAGTAGAACCGCGTTTCTTTATAGAACAATGGCAGAGCCCAACCCTAAAAGATTCCGATCTGTAAGTGAAGAGGATCTGACGGAAGTTCTGGATTCCAGAGTACCTGCCAAAACCAAGGAAGCAAATCAATGTTGGCTTTCTGTTTTCAATACGTTCAACAAGAAGCAACCACGTCCAATAAAAATTGAGAAGTATTCAAAGTCTGAACTGAATACTTTCCTGTGCAAACTTTACGTTGCTGCTAAACGACAAGATGGCGGTTCATATCAACGTTCAAGTTATCTGTGCTTTAGGGCGGCTCTACGCCGACACGTGGTTGAAAAGCGGAAATGGAACATCATCAGCGATCCTGAATTTGCCCGTTCCAACAACTGCTTGGATGGAGTTCTCAAGAAATTGAAGCGAGAAGGAGAACTACGACCAGTCAACCACAAGGACTATATCACAGACGATGACTTCAAGAAGCTGAAGGACAAGTTCTTACGATGCAAGGAGCCGGAGGTTCTTGTAATGGAGGTATGGTTCTATATGACCTATCACTTTGCACTCCGTGGAAGAGAAATCCAACGACAGGTGAAGAAAACTGACTTGGTTCTCAAGAAGGACGACAACGGAGATGAATATTTCCTTCTCAACGTTGATCTTACCAGCAAAAATCATCCCGGTGGTATCGCTGATAGACATGACCCGCCGACCGCAGGAAGAATACAGGACGGAGATCAAGTCTTCAGTGTCAAGTATCTGCTGTCACGCCTACATCCTCAGCAAGAAGCGCTATTTCAAAAGCCCAAACCGAACCTGAGGAAAGGGGAGCAGATATGGTTTGAGAATTTTCCCTTGGGCAAAAATTCCCTCGCTCAAATAATGCCCAAGCTGTCTAAAGTGTGTGGTTTGTCTAAGACGTACACGAACCATTCTGTACGGGCTACTACTGTCCACCGTCTGTCAGCAGCAGGAGCTACAGATCGACACATCATGCAGGTAACAGGACACCGAAATGCCATGAGCCTGGCAAGCTACAGCAAGTCAACTGATGAACAACAAAGAAATATGGCAGCTGTTCTAGATGCACCTTCATCTCAATCATCGGAAAGACGACAAGCAAATTCAGTGCCAAGGGAATCAGATGAGAGGTCAAGTTCACCTGATCAAGATTGTCAAGAACCATCCACCTCATGCCAAAAGGGACCTCAAGACTCTTCTGACAACATCACATCTACTACAAGTCCTGCGCTATCTCAATCTTCACGAACCAACTCGCCAATCAGACCCTACATTCCATCGTCAAATTCGTGTCCACTGGTCAATCCGTCATCCGCAAAAGCGGGTCTTCGACAGAATACGTCGAAAGAAGTATGTTCAACGTTTGTCCTTGATCCTCCGTCTCCAATGCAGCCACCGCCATCTTCATCTCTTCGAATCGCAGAGCCTCCTTCAGAAGTTAATGTTGCCTGTCCAAGACCAGCTCCATGCTTTAATCCCCAACAACAACAGCAAAGAATCGATAATGCTCTTCAAACTGTATTTAGTGGAGGTCTGCATAACTGCAATGTTACAATCAACATGTTGCCTTACAATTAGTGAGGTTATTTTGCGAGAATAATAAACATTCTTTAATTCTGTCCTCTTAAAGAGAAGTTGTTTGAAAAGGGAAAATTAAGTCGTTGGGAAAGTCGCTGATTGGTCAGCTCCTAGGCAACGGGATTGACCTCGTTCTAAAATAGTTAATGCATGGCAGGGAGAGCCCAATGGCTTGTTAGTGCCCTCCACGGTAGCCCTCGGGCCTACGGCCCTCTGACTACCCTGGAGGGCACTAACAAGCCATAAGGCCCTCCCTGCCATGCACTAACCTATAAATACATCCCGCCTTGTACGGTACTGAGTGTTAGACTTGCAACCATATCATTGTCACAAGGCACAGCATCTCCCACCCTGGACTTCGTAACTCAGGCATACTGGTGGCCTGGCACAATCGAAGGATCCTAGGCTGAACTTGTGTGTATTGCATTAGAGCGTAGCAGATTGTATTATTATTATTATTATTATTAACTTTTATTTTACTAGGGTGTTTCCCACAGACCTATGGTCTTCTTACGGGAGCCCCTAGGATTACGGGAGCCCCTAGGACGTATCGCGATGGCTTGAACTTGTTTTTATACATATAAATGCTTTCTATCATCAAGTCATAGGAAGCTATTAATTGCGTCAGTAGGTTGGGAGAAACGGAACCCCCGACCCAGGAGGAAAAAAACCTGCATCTGGTCCTGCAGCGTGATGTACATTCCATCGGGCGGTATAGTCCATTTGAAGGGAGTGAGAGTTACGCAGTCTAAAACAAAATGGTGAGAGGGAGCTGTTTAAATCCTAATGTTGATTTCTCGATGACTTCAAGAAGCCCTTTTGTTGAGCTTCTTTAATTGTGCCTTGAAAGAGTGTCTGTGAAGAGAGTCAATGTTTTCTGCACACCTCCTATTATATTAAACTCATTAAACTCCAGGAACATTTGAATATCATTATGTTCACTGAG